CAGTGCGGCCTTGAGTCTTGCTGCAGCTCTCCAGTACCTTCTGGGGGTCTATCACACCTAACAGCGTAGACTAGCATCCCCTGAGGGCCTCGCTGGAGTTTACTCTATTCATTTTACTCTAGTATACTCTAAGGAGCACTAAAGGCCTTCTAGTGTGGCCTAGAGCACCCAGTACATCCCAGTGTAATCCAGCTGCCCACAGAGACCTTGCAGGGCCTTCTCCTGGGAACCCTCTAGGGTGCAGTAGGAGCAACCAAGAATGCATTGGAAGGCCCTGGGAGGCCTCTAGGCCACATTGGGAGGCCTCTAGGTCTCTCTAGAGAGCACTTGGAGGCCCCTGAGGCACATGAGAGTACATTGGTGCCCTGTGAGGCCTCTAGAGAGCCCTGGTAGGCTTCTAGGGGAAGCTAGAGCATACTGAGGAGCACTGCAAGGTCTCCAAGGGGCATTAGAATGCACCCAGCTGCCCTGGGAGCCTTCCAGGTGTTGCTAGACTACACTAGGAGGACTTGGAAAACTAAAGGGTGCACTGGGATGTCTCTAGGACTCTCTAAACTTCACTTGAGGTCCTGGGATGCCTCTAGAGATCCCTGGGAGACTTCAAAGTTTTGGTACAGTGCACTGGAGAGCACAGTGAGGTCCCCAAGGGGTGTTAGAGCACACCTGGAGGCCTTGGTAGCTTTCCAGGTGGTGCTAGACAGCGGAGGACAGCGGGGAGCCCTGTGAGGCCCTTGGCTGGCAGGCACCCATGGCACCTCTCCCCTGCACAGACTGGCTCCGACTTCACGTCACAGGGCTGCCCCGTCATTCCTGCCCTCACCCAGTCCTCCTGGGCCCACCATTTGAATGCTCAGCATTCCCTTTTCCAGGTCACTAATATTAGGGACATCAGCACCCCGTCACCCAGACTGCCCCAAAAACGCATCCAACACCAGTGCATGGTGGCACCCAGTGGGATCCCCGCTCTGTGCCCAGCAAGGAGAAGCCTGCTGCAGGGCATGGCGCCGTGCTGGGCTCTGCTGGCTCCCAGGGAAGCGAGCAAGGCTAATTGCATGGGATAAGTTCATGGCGCCTGGGGGATTTCCAGGCAAAGCTGCATCCACTTTGGTCTGTTTTCTTCCGTACCCTGGAGAGCATGTCTGTAATCACCAGCCCTCTCCAACTTTCTTATCCCACCAGCAAGTCCTAGCTGAAAAAAATAATAAAATACTTGACATCCCCGAGGGGAAAGATGTTTTCCAAGCCCCTTTTGGCAGTAAGGGGCCTTTTTCAGCTCACATAGGTCTCCCAAAAATAAATACAAAAATGCAGCGAGGATCAGAGGCTAGAGCTGCCCTCCCGGCTCGAGCAAAGCGCTGCTGTGCTGCACCAGGATCACCTCAAACCCTTGGCATGCAGATGGATAACCCCATGTGGGGCCCCAAAACCCCACCATGTCCTTCAGCTGCCTGCTCTTAGCACCCATCTCATGGGTACCTGGTGGCCACCTTTTGCCACAAGTGGTGCCCACTGCCCTCACCATGTCCCCAGGCTGCAGGGGGACACCACAGAGAGAAATGTCACCCACCTGCAGCACAGCAGCAGGGCTCTCCCTGAGCAGAGGCAGCCTTCTCACTTGCGCAGAGCTGAATTTTGTCTATTTTTAGTTTTTCCCCAACGAAACTCTCTTGAGGAAAAAAAAACGTAAGCAAGAGAGAAAAAAAAAAAAAAAAAAAAAAAAAACAGAGAAGAAAAAAAGCCAACTCCACCCAAACAAAATAAATTCCTGCCTTTGAGGGCTGCCGCCTGGGAGTGGCTCACGTCACACTGTGCCATGCTCAGCCACCCCAGCCACGTCCCCACCCCACGCAGCCCAGCACCATGCCTCAAGCCTCATGTCCCCCCCCTTGTGTTGGGTGCAGGCAGCCCCTGGAGCACCAGGGGCACTGCTAGCAAAGAGGTAGGTTTATTAAGCTCGTTAATTAATGATGATAAGTAAATAAGGGTTGCAAGGAGAGCAGCACAGCTTGATTGGTGCCAGCTTGCTGATGTGGCAGCAGCTGTGACCAGCGCTGTTGGCCTCCCTGCCACATTGCAGCGTGCCAGGGGCCTCGCCTGCAACTGTATGGGGAGTAATGGGGTACCCCGCTCCCATCCCAGCTGCTGCATGGTGCAGTGCTGCACCCTTGTAAATGGCAGCCATGGGACCAGGGAAGGAGCCTCGGAGGGGTCAGGTCCCCACGAGAACCCCACCAAACACAAACACACACATCCGTGTCTTGGGCACAGGAATTGTTGCATCCGAGCCCATCGTGCCTGGGAAAAGGCTGCGGGCTGCTGCTGCCAGGAGGGGGAAAGCCAGGAGCTCCTCTGGCATGGTCCTGCTGGGCAACAAAGCCCAGGGAGATGCCACCATGACCAAACGCTCCCTGTGGGCAAGGGAGCAGCTCCAGGGATGCTGCAGCCAGCGTTGAGGCTAACCAGGAACAGCCCTGCAGCTGTGCCACGAGGCTGGAAGACATTTGGGGAGGCAGCAGGCCCGGTTTTCCCCCACAAACATAACCTTTGGGGCACCTGCTGCTGGGAGGCAACCACTGGTGCTCAGCTGGGCCAGGCTGGAGCTCTGCTTGTGGGGCACTGCAGGTGGCCACTGTGGGACAGCAGCACGGTGGGGAACAAGCGGTGGGGCATGAAGGAAGAAGAAAGCCCTGGGCTCCAGCCACATTGTGCGGGGGGCTGTAGCAGCACTAAGTGACAAACCTGCTCTGCTCCTGCCTCCAGCCAGGCCATGCCAGGGTGCCCCCCGTGCTCCAGCCCCACCACCCCGGCACAGGCTGGGGCTGCTCCGTGTTGCTCCAGGAGGAACAGGGCAGGAGCAAGCTGGTGGGAGGCTCCACGTCCTCCCCACCCGCCCCCAAAGCTCAGGCGCACACCGCATCTCTCAAAACCTTTATTGTCAGCAAATAACAAAAGTCCGGGGGCCCGGGGAGCGCACGGCGCTGGCGCCGCAGGGCCCGGCCTGGTGGGCAGCGCAAGCAGCGGGGCTGGGCGTGCGTGCGGGGGGACGGGGCGAGACCCGGGCGGCGCCACTCTCCGCGGCCAGGAGCACACTTACAACGGCTTATAAATAAACAACCACGACGAGAAACCTCGGGCTCGGGGGAGCAGGCGGGGGGTACGCTGCCCAACCCAGCCGCGAGCCCAATGCGCTCTGCCCCCGGACGTGGGGAGCAGCTGGGCCCCGCAGGGGTGCCCGGGTGGGGATGCCCTGGGGGGGCAAGGATGGGGACACAGGGAGGTGCCAGCCCCTCGATTGCTGGAGCTGGGCGTGCAGCCTGGGAAGGAGCAGAGCCCCTAGGGGACGTGGGTGTCACCGGTGGTGGCATCCCCGAATGCTGCGGGAGGCCACAGAGCCACCAAGCTGCCTCCTGAGCTGGGGGGGTGGCCAGAGGGAGGGAGGGGAGGGCAGAGCGCATTGGGACCGAGCAGAGCCGCCTTCAACCTTTGCCTTTAAACACTGAAGCTTATATTAGAGACTATGATATAGAACCCGGAGGGCAGGGCCTTCCTGCCCGCAGTAGAGACAGCAGAGAGAGCACAGCTCCGAGGCGAAGGGCCGCTCCAGCTACTTCTACGAGCGGGAGGTTAGTGCGGGGGCACCGGGCGGGCGGGCAGGGGGCTGCCCTACGGCTGGTTCTTCGCCTCGGGGTCTTTGTCGTAGATGTAGCTGCCCACGGCTCCGGTGTTGACGCCTGCAAGGAGGAGGGACAAGCATGGGGGTGAGGACGCGGGTGGGATGGGTGTTGTTCCCCTCAGTCCTGCGTCCCCAGCACTCACCCTTCGGCCCGAAGAGGATCCCGTAGCAGGGCTTGTGGCAGTAGGGCTGTCCATCGTGCTGCGCCAGGCAAAGAGACAAAACGTGTCACCCATGGGGACACGCGGCGCGGGACGCGTGGAGCCGCTCTGCCCTCTCGTGGTGGCACAGCCCGGCTCGCTTTGGCACAGCTTGGCACGGGGTCCCCATGCTGCGGGGACCCCACAGGGGTTCCCTTACCTCGGCGTGGCCCCCGGGGGTCAGCGTCTTGCTGCAGCGCTCGCAGCGTAGGCAGGGCCGGTGCCAGTCCTTCCCCAGCGAGGTCACCTTCTCGGCTGCAGCGGGGACAAGCAGGGACGGTCACCCCCACACGTCACCAACACGCAGGGGGTGGCCAGAACGCCCCACAAGGACCTCACCTCCGTGCATACAGACCCCAGACCCCCTTCCGAGACCCCACACACCCCAGGGTGCCTGTGGAGACCACGCACCGCCCGGTGCCCGCTCGCAGCCTTACCAAAGTAGACCCTCTTGCCGCAGCGTGGGCACATGTTGGGCTCCCCGGTGAAGGTGGTGACGCTGGAGGCTGGAAGACAAGGGGACAGGAGTGTGGGACACCCCGGCCAGCACCCAGCCCAACACCCCTATTGCCCGTGCCCCCTACCCCTCACCTTTGCTGGGTCCCTTGGGCGGCGCGGCGTTCACCTTCCTCTCCTCCACCTTCACCGGGTGCTCGATGGGCCCCGGGGCGGTCTGCCCCTCGATCTGCGGCTTCTCGTAGATGTAGGACCCAGCACCGCCGATGTTCACCCCTGTGCAGGGGGACAGAGGGGCTGCAGCATCCCCGGAGCCACCCGGGGGTCTCCATCCTCCTCCCGGCCCCGTCCCACCTCCCCTGGGCACCCCTGTCCCCGCTGAGCCCCAGCTCCCTTCCTCCTGCCCCAGGCTTTCTGCAGCCACTTGTGGGATGGGAGAGTGACTCCACCTTCTGTCTGAATGGAAAATTGTCTCTTTCTTTAATTAAAAAAATAAAAGAGAGAGAGAGAGGGACAGCTGTCAGGATTGACTGTTGTCAGGATCGATTCCCCCCTCTCCTATCCCTCTTTACGAAGTGGCTGCAGGTTTGGGATTGCTTCAGCCCACACCAGCCCAAATCCTGGGGCTCTTTTAGGGCCACGGGGACCCAGACCTACCTTTGGGGCCGAACAGCGTCGCGTAGCAGGGCTTGTGGCAGAAGGGCTTCCCATCATGCTGGAGAGAGAGCGGTGTTAGGGTGCTGGGCAGCAATCACCGATCCCACCCCCTGCCCAGCCCCAGGACATCTCCACGCACCCTGGCAAGGCCAGGAGAGGGCTTCTGCTCAGCTTCACCTCCAGCCTCAGTGCTGTGCCCCTTGCTTGGCCCGAGATCAGAGGCCCTGTGCGGGCACCGGTCCCAGCCCCGCTGCCATCAGCCCCGCTATCGGCCCCGCTATCGGCCCCGCCGGCTATCAGAGGAAGGCACGAAGTGGGCGATAAGCACCAGGGCCCTTCTCCCATGCGGCCGCCCACGAGAGGGCCGCCAGGGCCCCAGATAACGTCCTGCAGCTCCACCAGCAGCTTCTCACGGCCCGCTGGAAGCGAGGCCAAGAGCGAAGAAAGAGCGTTTGTCCCTCTGCTTCCACCAGGCCCAGCGCCACAGCGCTTCGAGCCCTGCTTTGTGGCCCATCTGCCCTCTGCTGCAAAACCCCCGAGCCCAAAGCAAGCAGGGCGGCAGGGCAGGGTGAGACAAGTCTTCTCCAGCCACCGGAGAGGGAGGTCACGGAGCAAAATGAGCGCAGCCCCTTCCTTCCCTTCCTTCCCTTCCCTTCCCGATGCAGCTGTGCAGAGGGAGAGGGCTCGGAGCCGGGCAGGCCAGCGGGCAGCTGGCTGGGAGCGAGCAGCTGCTAGGCAAAAATATCAGCGTCCCCAGAGCGCTGCGTGGCAGGAGGGAGGGTAAACATTTAGCCGGTCTCCCCGCGACACCTTCCCAACCTGGCCAAACAAGCTGGCTTTGGGGGGGGAAAAGCTGGGAAGGGCCAAATCCTGCTCCCGGCACAGGCACTGGGGGCTTGGCTGCCGTCTCCCCGGAGCAGAATCCGGCCTTATATGGAGAAAAGGCAAATTCGTGGCCCAAACCCAACCCAAAACGTGCACCCAGCCTCCCCTACAGGGCTGGGGGCTCGCAGCCCGGCCCCGGCCGGCACGGCTGTCCCCGCTGCCACCAGCTGCCCCTCAGCTGCGCCGCTAAGGAGCTGGTGACACTTTGGCACGACAGGCACCGTGCGAGATCCGGGGCACGGCGGGGAGCCACGCGAGGCTAACACAGTTGCTCTGAGGGCTCAGCCCCTGCCATCGTGCTCCCAGCTCCTCGCTGGGCACGGCATCGGGCACCTTCCCCAAACTGGTTCCCGGGACTTCCCCCTCCCCAGGGCACTGGAGAGCCCATCAGTTCCCCCCTGGCGTGTCGGCACAGCCCCTGCCGCTTCAGCTTCTCCAAATATTTACATTTTAAATGGATTCGGGGCTTTTTTAGCTCCATTAGTAGCTGCGCGGGGAATGCAAGCGGCTCCCCTTTGGGGCGGCTGCTCCCCTTCCTCCATTCCTGCCTCCGGGCCCTGCAGGTACCAGCACCACGGGCAAGGCCACGGGGAGGCACGGCGAGCCCTGGGCCCCTCGGGCGCTGACTACAAGCCAAGGGAAGGGCTCGTGGGCTGCAGGACGAGGGCAGGATGCCGGCTTTGGCCCCAACCCCCCGGCACCTCTTACCTCGGCGTGCCCGCCCGGGGTCAGGGTCTTGTTGCAGCGCTCGCACTTCAGGCAGAACTTGTGCCAGTCCTTGCCCAGGGAGGAGACCTTCTCGGCTGCGGGGAGACACGAGACAGCGGGTGAGCGACTGCCTGGCACCTCTGCACAAACCCGGGCACGAGAGGGGCTGCGTTTGGTGTGGGGCTGCCCCACCGATGTGCTCGCACCCCCTTCCCTCGCCGTGCACGCTGGCCACTCCGCTGCAGGCGCAGCATCCCCGGGTGACAGCTCTGTGGTGCCACAGTTGTCCTCCCCTGCACGCCGCTCCGGCAGCAGTAGCACGTTCCTTCCTACTCCCCGGGTCTATTTTTGCTGCCGCATTACCCCGCACGGCCCTGCTCCATTCAAATATTTGGAGTTGCCATGCCCACCCGGCCCCACCCGGCCCGTCGCGCCGGCCCCGCCAGCTCCTGCTCATTTTCATGCCTCCAGCTGGGAGGACGGGACGGCACGGCAGCCCCCGGAGTCACCCAGGAGGGATTTTGGCCCCGGAAGACACCCGGCTGGGGGTGCGTGGATGCGACGTGCGTCCCTGCGCGCTGCGAACCCACGGAGCAGCTGGCTGCAGGCAGCAGAAACGGCTCCAAAGCATCCAGTTCGGGGAGGGAAAACACTTTGAGACCGGTCCCACAAACGCACCTCCTCTGGCTCTGCCTGCAGCACGGCTCCAGGGACCTCATTCCACATCCCCACCCGTGTTCCTATGTGGGCTCGGGGAACCACTGCGGTTTGTGGGTCCCTTGCTCGGCCCCCACCCCGCTCCGGGGTCGGGGTGTCAGCCCCTGCCCACCCACCCCTCGCACACACGCGCAGGCAGCGGGAAAGCAGTGCCTTCCCATTACAGCCTCCGTAAAACGAAGTGGTAAGGGCCAAATAAAATATTTAACGAGCAAATAAAAGCTCAACTGAAGCTCGGCCCTGCTCGGCAGGAACAGCTCCTCCATGGCGGCCTGTTTTCCAGCACCTTTCCCCCCCCAAAAAATAAAAAATAAAAGGACTTCAGCAAACGTCTCCAACTTGGATCAGGTCAAGTCAGGGGCCAAGAGCTCCGCGAGGGCAGGTCCTGGCTTCGAGAGCCGCCCTCCTCCCAGGGCAAACAGCTGCGCCTGGGGCACGCCGCAGCACTGAGATAAGCCGAAATAAGCACCCTCAGCACCCCAAACATCAGCCCCGGTGTGAGCAAGCCGCAGAGGTGAAGGCAGAGCTCCCCAGGGGAAGCACGGGCTGGGGGTGCGGAGTCAGCCCGAAGCGTCGCCAAACCGTGACCGAGCAAGAGGAGCTTCTGCAGCGAGCAGGAGGCAGGGGCAGGCTTTGCGCAACCAAAATCCCCGGCTGGTCAGCAGGCTTCTCACGCGCACAGAAATTTGCTGGAGCCCCGGGTTCGGCCACACGCAGGTCACAAGGGGCGGCACACAAAGGAGACGCTTCCCCGCCGGCCCCGGGCTTCCTGCGTGCACATCAGCAGCAGCGGGGCCAGCACGAGCCCCGGGTATCCCCGCGTGGCCTCGGCAGGCTGCAGGGGCTGAACTGAGTTTGGCCTCGTGGTGACAATGACCGGACAAATGCCCTGGTGGCACGTGGGTCACGCACGAGACCGGGCTGCCGGGCTGAGCCCGCTGCAGGAGAGGGCGGGGGGACGCGGTGCTGCTGCCCGTTCCTCCCCGGCACACCGGGCAGCCTCCCCCGGGAGGGAAATGGAGCGTGACCGGCTGAAAGCCGAGCCAGAGGCTCGGGGCCAGAGAGCCGCTCGGCTTTGTCACAGTGGCTGCACAGCCAGGCCATTTCGGCTGGGTCTCCTTCACCCGTTGTGCCCCTGGTGCAAAGCAAGGAGCCGCAGGAAGGAAAACCCCGGCGGTGTTTTGCAGAGGCCGTGGCGCTTATATTTACTCCTTCCTGCCCCGGGAGATGAGATTCACCCCGAAAACACCTCGGGCACCTCTAACACCCTGCTGCTCCCCAGACCTCGCAGGCACCTGCAGCCCCTGGCAGGGGACAGGGCAGGAGGGACGAGGTGGCTTGGTGCGCTGTCCTGCTCCTGGCACACGGGGACATCCCGGGAGCCACCGGGGACACCCCTCGACCTCGTGGAGAGACGCCAAGCCCCCTGCCAGGCTGCCCGGAGGGCGGTCAGATGTCCCCCTGGCCGCAAACAAAGGCTCCCAGGGGACGGGGAGCAGAGCCAGGCGCTCAGACCCCGCTCAACCGGGGCGGCTTTCGGGCTGCATTGTTCACCCCGGGCAGAGGAAACAGCTCGGAGCCAGCCCGGCCCATTTCCAGGGCAGCGGCGTCCCGTTTGTGTGCGCGTGCGGCCCCATAAATCACTGCGGAGAGAGAGCCCCAGCGGCCAGATTTCCTGTCACCCAGCCACGGCCGCTCCGCGGTTGCATCAGCTCCGGTGACGGCGCCTCCAACCTCATCCCCTGCCACAGCACCCCTCGGGATTTGGGAGGGTTCAGGACCGGCGCTCTGTCTGCCTGTTATCAGCCCCGCCGTGGGCTGAGCCCGCTGGCAGCGGGGCTCACGGCGAGGGTGGGAACGAGGCAGAGCGGCTGCCTGGCTGCCTCTGCTCCTGGGAGCCAGCCCGCGGCCTCCCCTCCCCTCCCCTCCCTTCCCACTGGGATTTTCCAGCTGGCTTCCCCACTGGGGACGCCGGGACGCGCGGCGGCACATCCTATCCCACCCCGGAGCCGAGGCAGATGGAGCAAGGATCGGGATGGGGCTGCTGGGGGAGCTCCACCCCGAGACACCGCGGCTCATCCCCTAATTACCCGCCGTGCCCGGGCAAGGCAGCCGGCGTGGGCGAGCGGCGAGCAGAGCACGCATCTTTTTGGGATGGGAACGGGGAAGGAGCCTCCCTCCTCCCCGCCTGGGGCCGGCTGCCGAGCCCTCGCCCAGGCATTTCCAGGGGCTGACATCAGCTCTGCCTCGCCGTGGAGGTGGCGGTGGCTGCGTGCCACCGAGCGGGGCCCGTCCACGCCATCGCCTCCCTGCGTGGACAAAGCCCAGCTCAGCCATGGGGACGCCAAATCCCCGCGGGGACCCAGCGACAGGCGGCCCCGGGGGAGAGGGATGCTGCCAGAACGGCTGCAGATGCGCTTCAAAGCGGTGGCAGGCACAAAGGAAAATTAAACAAAACAACAAAAAAAAGAGAGAGATGAGAGCTGGTGCTGGGAGGGCACCGGCAGTGCTCCTGCGGGCACGCTCCCCTGGCTCGCTGCGCTACACAACCAGGCATCGCCGTGTGGCTGAGCTGCAGCCCCTCGGGATGCTCCTCGCTGCTCCTTTCCCCCAGCCGGGGCCAAGCCCCAGGAATACGGGGGATATTTTACTCCCCCGGAGATGAGCGCTGCCTGCAGGAGCTCCAACAAGCTCCTGGCATCCACACCCCGAGTCCCCGAGCTTGTGGCTCCCGGGGGATGCAACTGGCTAGGAAGCACCGTCTGCCTTTGTCTGCCTCCTGCCAGCCTCGCTCCTTCTGCTCGGGGCCCTGCATGGCCACGAAATGAGCAGTCAGTGCGCAGGGGGAGCCCGGGCAGGCGCACACAGCGGCAAAACCTCTCCTGGGTATCTCGCCTCCCTGTCCCGCTGGTGCCCCAGGGGCTCGGGCCAGGCCTGAGGCAACGCAGCATGAAGAGAGGTGGCAGGGGATGCTTGGCACCTCCCCGCGAGCTGCAGCCCCGCAGCACGCCCCAGGAGCTGTCCCAAAACCTCCCTGCCCTGTGGCACGGGCACTGCCACCCCATCGCATGGAAGCGGCACCAGGGCACACGCCCTGCTCTCTGTATTTGATCGTAACCTTACAGAGACAGATTTTCCATTACCCCTCGCTGGGGCGTTCCCGCTCCGCCTTTCCTCTCCTTTCCACCCCGCTCCCCGGTCCTGCCACCTCTCCCCATCCGCGGGCTGCTACCAGGGACCGCGAGGCTGGATGGAGGAGGGGGAAATCACACCAAGCACAAGCTGACCCGGTCCCCATCCCTTGTGCTCGAGGTGCAGCACAGAGCCTCGGGGCACCCCCAGGGGACAGGGACACAGCCACAGCCCCGCACCGAGCGCAGGCCCACGGCAGCCGCCGCCGTGCCGCGCACGGAGAGCAGCCCCTTTGTTAGCAGCCGGGTGGAAATCAAGCCCTCCTGCCTCTGCTGGCTGCCCACTGCAACGAGCAGCGCCTGGCCAAGGACGGCGGTTACTTATTAATTGCAGGGTGGCTTCTGCAGCTTGGATTTCTGCTCGGGCTCAGCACGGAGAGCACCCCGGCACACCACAGCCGTGCCTCCGAGCCACCAGGGGCGAGCCCCTCCGAGCAAGGCTGGCTCGCACCCACACCCACACCCACGTGCCCGTGTTGTCCCCGGGGTTTTAGGGTGCCTCGTGCTCAGGAATCGCCGCGCGGGAACACAGGAAGCTTCCCGCGCCGCCGTCCCGGCCATCCCTGGGAAAAGGGCAGGAAGGGAGGCGGAAAGGCTGGGTCACGGCTCCCGGCCCGCGCAGCCGGGGGACGCTGCAAAACTCATTTAAGGCTGGTAGCACAAAAGGGAGCTCAGGAAATGCGCGGCGCTTCGGCTCCGGGTGACGCCGGTCCCTCCGGCACCTGCCAGCGTGGGGGCAGCGAGCGCGTATGGGGCCAGCCCCAAAAGGGGAAAGGTTGGCCAAGCCGAGCCGAGCCGCCCAGTCCTGCTGGAAACGGCGGAGAGCAGATCTGAAAGCGCATAAAAAAAATAGAAAGAAGAAAAAAAGCCAGCAAACTATTTTTATATTTCCCTATGCTTTTTAAAGAATAAAAGCTCATTCTGCAGCTCAGGAAACGCCCACATCCTTCTGACTACAGGGAGGAGTCTGCTGGATTTTTCCAGGGAGCTCGAAGCAACAGGCGGGCTGGAAATGAGTTTTCCACCGGTACCCAGCGCCGGTGGCTTGGCCAGCGCTCAGCCAGCGGGCGGGCGGCCCGCGGGACCCGGAGCGGGACGCGGTGGCATTTCTCACACGTGACCCCAAGCTACAACGCCAGGCATCCAAGACCCAGGGCTGCCAGCGTTCATTCAGCACCGGCGGCCGTGCTCCTGGGCAAGCCGGGCTTCGTCAGAGGGGATCCTTGCTCTGATAGGGGTGGCCACAGAGCACCCCAAAGCCCCGTGCCAGGATCCCGCTGCGGGTAACCCCTGCCCCATCTCGTCCCGGCCCCTGGGACAGCTGGCACAGAGGTTTTGCTCGCTTCCCCTGCACTGAATAAACCCACACGGGTTTATTCCGTGGGAGCCTGGGCGGTTCCTCGAGGAAAAGCCGAAGACGTCAGCGGGGACGCGCTCCAGCCTATTTCAACACCGAGCGAGGAGAAGTTTTTTGGCCAGCTCCCGCTTTGACTCACTCCCACGGGGTGCCGGGGGGGACGGTGTCACCGCCAGCCACCTCCCTCCTGCCACCCATGGGTGTCCCCGAGGGGGACAGGACCCGGGGAGCCAACCCAGACCTGCACAAGGGTGTCCTGGCCACCTCCAGGGAGCTGCGGGAGGGAAGAGGGTGGCATACACCCGGGGAGCAGCTCCGTGTCCCCCAGGCCATCGCCCCGACACATCCCCTCCGGCGGGGCAGGAGGAGCCGCGCTGACCCCATGCCCAGCTGGCCGGACAGACGGGCTATTTTCTGCTTAAAAAGGAAAAGATTCACACGAGGCAGGACATGCAAGAGGCCGAGCCGTTCCCACCCCCACACAAATAGGTTTATTTAAAGGAGGAAGACAGCAAATTCCTATTTCTCCGTGTTTACTTGGAGATGGCCGGAAAGGAATGAAAGCTGCCGGTGCTTCAAACGCCCGGGCACCTCCGGCTCCCTGCGGGATTCCTCCAAAACCAAACGGGAAGGGCCGGGCCCTGGTGCCTGGGAGGGCAGGGAGGGGCACACGCAGGTGGCACCCCCGAATCGCCCCGCAGCGGGATGCCCAACAGAGATCCCACTGCCCCCAGCCGGCCACCACCCCACCCCGGGCACACTGAGGCAGAATCCCAATCCCTGACCCTTTGGGGGCACCCCGCAGAACCCCAAAATGTGGGCTGCTCACCCAGCTGGGGGGGGCTAAGGGGATCAGCACACCTGGCCCCGGTGTCGCAGGGCACAAATTGGCTGGGGTTGGGCACGCCTGCACCTGCCACCTCCTGCTGCCCCACACCAAGGGACCCCAGCACCGGGACCCCCCTCCCGGGCCCATTTTCCCCCAGGGTCACCCCCAACCCTGCGGACACCGGGACGCCCCCCCCAACCTCCCCATGTACCCGGGGCTGGGCGCACCCGGCGCGCCCAGGACCCCCCTCCCCAAGCTTCCCCACCCCAAACCCGGGGGGTGCGGGCAGCACCCCCCCAGCTCCACCCGCCCCAGGACCCCCGGCAGCATCCCCCAGCTCGGCCGGGGGCTGCGGGGTTGGGGGGGGGGGATGGAGGAGGGAGCCGGGCGGGGATGCGCTCCGGGCTGGGGGGACCTGGGGATGCAGCGGGGACCCCCGGGGGGGCTCTCACCGAAATACACGGTCTTGTCGCACTTGGGGCACTTGGATGCCATGGCTGGGGAGCGGAGCGGTGCGGAGCGGAGCCGTGCCGAGCCGAGCTGTGCTGTGCCGAGCCGTGCCGAGCCGTGCGCCCCGCTCCGCCCGGCCCCCGCCCATTGGCCGCGCTACCGCCGGGGGGGGCCCGGGGCGGGGCTGTGCGCAGCGCCCCTGCTTGGCACGGCTCGGCACGGCTGGGCTCGGTTTGGCTCTGCAGGGCTCGGCTGGGCTCGGTTTGGCTGGGTTTGGCTCTGCAGGGCTCGGCTCGGCTCGGCACGGCCCCAGCGCGGCAGGTGCGCGCTCAGCGGGGTCCCGCGGGCCGGCGCTCAGCCCCCGGCCCCCAGCCCTGGGGGTGCTGGGGAGGGCGTGGGGGAAAATTTGGGGGCCTGGCCCCTTCCCTGGGGGCAATTCCTGGCCCCCCGCCCGGCCACACGCGTGCCGGGGTGCAGGGATGGATGGGGTCAGGTCACCACCACCGCCCCGGTGCCCCTGCGGTGGGAATAAAGGGGTGCAGGGAGCAGCCCCCCGCCCTACAAAGTGCTGTGCGTGCACAGGGCCACCTCAGGCACGTTTTTTTTCTAGCTGGGATAAGCAAGAAAGGCAGGTGAAGGGGCACAAGATGGGAGACCTTGACGGGGGAACGAGGGCGAGAGCAGAGATAACGCCGAGGCGTGGAGCACGGCACATCTCCCCACCGGGCTCCCGTACCCCCACGGCACAGCACAGCACAGCAGTGCTGCCCACGGCCCCGCGTGCTCCTGGGGCCTTTCCCCTGCCAGTGAATCCCCGCGCCATTTTGCTCCGTTGCCATGGGAACTGCCATGGCAAAAATCCCTCCGGCACGGAGCGATGCGCGGGGAGCCCCGCGGTGCCAGAGGGGGATCCCGGGGAGCCCCACTGATGGGCCCCACGGCCTTGCTTGTCCCCAGCCCAGCGCCCGTCAACAGGAAATCTGCCCGCGGAACCGATTTCATTGCATTATTCATCAGCCCGCAGCCCGGCTCTCCCCCTGCTCTCCTCAGATAATTCCTCCTTTCTCTGCCGTCAGCTGGCGCGCAGCCGCCCGGCCCCCGGCACGGGGACGGCACCGGGCGGCGAACCCCGGCGCCGAGCGGCGCCCAGGGCCACGCACCCCAGCAGGGTGTGGGGACCCGCGGTGGCCAGGCGGCCCCGTCACTCCGGGCCCAGCTGCTGCCACCACAACGCGGGGCTTTGTCACCAGCAGGGGTCCCCTGTCCCCGCCAGTGGGGACTGGTGCTCCCAAGGCACCGGTGGCCACCGCAGGCAGGCGGGGAGCTGCGGGCTGCTGGTCCCTTCTGTGGCACCGAGGCCACCACACCCTACAGGCTCCTGTGTCCCCACGCTGGTCCCAAAGGGGCTGGGGGGCCCCACACTTCCCCCACAGACCCGTCAGCACGAGCCTCCCTGAAAAAAGAGGCTGCGAGGGATGGCTCTGGAGGAGCAGGGCTCAGCCTTCGCTCATCTGCTGTCCGAATCCCTCCGTAGCAGCTGGAAATCTCAGCTGGTGGCCCAGCCTCGCTGCCCACAGAGGCAGGAGGAGAACAGGGAGGAGGAGGAGGAGGAGGAGGAGGAGGAGGAGGAGGAAGGCTGCCCCCCCCCAGTGCGCACACATGGAGCAGCCGCAGGCGAAACCCCAGGCTTAGGCAGCATCCGAGGGCTTTTCGCGCACAGAGCCAGGGGGACTTAAGGCAAATCACCTAAAGGTGCGAATCCCTGCCTGCAAATGCGCTAAATCCCAAGCGGATATGCTCGCTGAGGAGCAAAGTGGCTTTAGCTTGTCCCCTCTTAATCTGCCCCCGCTCAGCTTCCGCGTGCCCCCGCACCCAGGGCCTGGGGACAGCAGGACAGGTGACCGGGGTGGCACTGGGGGCACCCTCCCCAAGCTCTGCCTTTTTCCTCAGAAAGTCGGGGGCTCCCTCCCTCCCTCTCTCAGCAGCTCCGGGTTTCCCTGACAACAGGCACGAAGCCTCCTTCCCGCAGCCACGAGCCCCGGGGAGCTTTGTGGTGCTGGCGACGTGGGCCACGCACCTTGCTCAGCGCCGGGGGTGTCCCTCCGAGGGGACCACCGTCCCCCCCCGGCAGCGGGTGACCCATTTTCCTGCAGTCTCACCCAGCCCAGCCCTGGGATTTCCTAAGCCGCCGCCACCGCCAGCTGGCTGCACGGGCTGGGAAAGCTGCACGGCACGGCGCAGGGCTCCTGGGTCACCGCTCCTCTGATGGGGAGCCCTGCTGGGAAGGGGTGAGGGCGAGCAGAGCTCCCCGACCCCACAGCACCGCGAGGCCGGGATCGCCTCCGCAGGAAGCCGGAGAGCCGGCCAGGACCTCGTCCTAGGGCAGGTCAACCAGAGAACTCAGCCAGGCTGCGAAGGGAAGGCAAGAAATAACTAAGGGCTGACTGCCCCCCAGCCGCCTCGCCTCTGGCTCACCCCTCTCCCCTGCTCCGGCTCCCCTCCGCTCTCCCGCCTGCCTTCAGATGGAAACGCGGCGGAAGGGCCGGCGCTGCGCAGCCTTCCCCTCCGCGCCTTTTCCTCACATTTTCTGGCACCTCGGATCAGTTGGATGCGTTACAGGGCGAGAAGAGACTGGAGGGAAAAGTATTTAAGGGAAAAAAAAAAAGAAAGAAAAAGGAGGTTAAGGGGGAAAAAAGTTGCTGCTTGCTGGGTTCGCCCAGAGGACAGCCATCGATGCGCAGTCCTCCTGTCCCCCGTGTCGGGGTCCCCCAGTTTATGGGGTTGATGGGGTTATTTGTCCCTCCTAAAGCGCCCACATCCCTGGACAAGCCCCGCAGCAGAAGCCAGGGCCCCTGGGTGGGGGGCAGAGGCTGCGGCGTGCCGGGGCTGGCGGGCCCTGGGTCTCATCAGGCGGCACATGCCAGCGCCTGGGGCTCGGCACGTCACCACCTCGCCCCGGCCCCCCACTTGTCGCTTCTCTCCTTTAAAAGGCATCCCAGGCCCCGCGGGTATCACAGGGCAGATAGCGCTGTCACGGGGCCCGGGATAAGCAGGGCTGCGTCCTGCCCGCTCGTCCTTGCCGGTGACAAAGGAAGGATGTCCCCGCGTCCCCTTCCCAGGGGGCTGCAGCTGCCGCCGTCCCTGCGGGCTCAGCCCCCGGTTTGTCACCGTGTCCTGAGGGGCACCGGGCTGCTGGGATGTGCCTGGATCATGGCACACGAGCAGGGACCCGGGCTGGGCACTGCTGAGGATTTCTCCCTGGGGAAGAGGAGCTCCTGGACACCGCCAGTAGCTCCCAGCACGGGGCAGCGACGCGTGGTGACAATTAAACGCGGGTACAGATGCTCCCGATAACAGCAGCGAGCTGCTTTCCTCACTATAAACATCTCCTTGGCTCCAAGCTGCCAGCACTTACTGGGTCCAAGCACCCATTTGACTTCAAGGCATTTCCCCGAGTGCCCTGCTCGAGGGGAAGACAAACAAGCAGCCCTTGAGCACCCACTCAGGGCCGCGCAGAAGTTCCCAAAGGGCAGCTCCCGAGGTGCCAGCACGAGGCTGGACGCCAGGGTGCTGGCACAGCACAGAGCTCACACAGCTCAGGCAGTGGGTGTGATATGCACCCAAAAATGGGTCTGAAACCCCAAAAAAAGGCAGCAAAGCACCCAAGGGGGGAGTGTGCAGCGCACGGTCGGGCACAGCACCGCTGGCCCTTCGCCAGTGCTGGCTCTGGCCCCGCTCTTCCACAGCGAGGACAGGGGTGTCCCGGGCACGGGCTGTGCTCGGAGGCGGTTTTGGTGGCAAAGTTCAGCTCCTGGCTGCAGGAGGAGGCACGGGGCTGTGTGCGATGAGGGGACGTGGCCAAATCCCACAGCGAGGGGTGCTGAAGGTGCCTCTCCCCGCAGGCGAGGAGGAGGCTGGATCCACGGTGCCACCACTTGCCCCATGAAGGCGGTGAAATCGCAGGGTTGAGGCTGCTTCAGCCCTGTCCTTGTTCCTTTTCCCAGGCCGAGGAGATGGGGACGAGGCCCTGGCCCCAGCAGGGACAAGATGCAGGCCCCGCAGATCTGTGCTTGAAGCCCTGCAGACTTTGCCCCTTGCCCGAGCAGCCCGGCTGAGCGGCCGCCTCTGGAATGAGCTGAAAAAACAGACGTTTCTGGGCACTGCGAGCCTGGCTCCACAGCCCCCAGACACAGGCACATAAAAATGCTAAATATTTGCTCGGAGGAGCGCTCGCCAGCTGCCTCTGCTCCCGCCTGCCCCCGCTGTCCCTCCTCTCGGGAACGGGGACGACCTGGGGCTGCTTTACGCCGCCTGCCGTGCCCCAGCCCCGCAGCTGCCGGCACCGAGCTGGAGCCACAGCGCGGGGCTTGCGCCGGCACCTGCTGGGGCTGGGAGCAGGGAGCGGAGGCGGAGAGGCCGGCCCGGGCCAGGCTCGCTGCTCCTGAGGAATTTGCCAAGCGAGCCAGGAGCAGGGCGAAGCTGGCTGACCCGCTGGGAAAGCGGGGCAAGGGGGGCACGGCCTTCCCGCGCTCCTCCTCGAAGGATTCCCACGGTAAAAGCGGCTCGGGGCACGCAGCGCCTCCTGTTTGACCCATCCAAATTTACTGCCTGCCTCCCCGGATGCGTTGTGAGCATCAGGTCCCCCTGCCAGGCTCCAACCCAAAACGTGCAGGGCCAAACCTGAACCTTTCAGTTCCCAGGAAGGGCCCCGGGGATGCGCAGTGAGGACCACGCTTGTTCAAGCCGTGCTCATGCCCCAGCGGCGGGGATCACGGCTGATCCCATCACCATTGTCTGTTGTAGGCTCTCACAGAAGAAGTATTCACCGAGCAGCACATTTACAGAAAAAACACAAACAAACGGGGCAGTAACGAGGCAGCTGGAGGAGCCTGTCGTGCCCCAGCTTGCCCGCTCGCAGCGTTCTCATTTCCAGCGTAACGCCGCTGCCAACGCTCCTTTCAACCTCGGTGTGGTTTTAAGCCCTCGAAATGAAAACACGGAGGGTCCTGTTTCTGCATTAAACCCCTCCTCCCTCCGTCTCAAAGCAGACTGGAAGGTTTTGGGCACAGCCTTCCCGCAGGGTGGCACCCGGTGGCATTGGGGCACACCGACCCACGCCGCCCCTCGGCTCCGTCCTCGCGCCAAGCGTCCGCCCAAGCTCTGGCTTGTGTAACGCCGAGGATCCAGAGCCTGGAGCTGGAGAGGAGCTGGCACAGGCTCCAAATTTCCATTTCAAAGGGAATTTCGGCATGTATTTCACTTTACAACTCCACAGCAGTGTCCCGGTTACAGCCCGCCCCCCCCGCCAGGGATTCACGGTGCAGAGTCGGGAGTTTTGGTCGCGCTTTTTCTTTCCACGTTATTCCAGCAGCGCTGGTACCGGCAGCGTGCTGCCCTCACCTTGCCGTGCCAGGAGCACAGATCGCTGCAAGCGGCTACTGACAAGCCAGTGCGGTGCAAAAATCCAGAGTAAAACAGCAAAGCAAGCTGCTTTTCCTCCTGGCTCTGCATCGTGGAGCAAACGTACCCCAAATCATCCGGCTGGGGCTCCCCCCGTTGAGCACGTGCCGTCCCCTTCCCTCTCAAGGGCTGCACAGGAGGTGGAGGGGACTGTGAAAAATAACTGCTGCCCCAGCGGCGTGTACCTGTTTGCAAGGCTCTACAGCAGGAAAATAAATAGCTAAAAACATTAAAGACATTCCCTGCAACAGCAGCAGGGGAATGAGAATGTGATTTTCAGCAGAGGAGAGGTTGGTCTGGGAGAGGCAGGGCTCAGGCTCGGACAGGTCAGCGGTGGGACCGACCGCTTGGTGGCACTTGTTGAGACCTGCTCATTTTCTGTGGTTGCTGAAGGTGCCTTCCCAGGCCTCTTCCCAAGCAGGTACAAACGGAACCAAGGCGGTGAGACACGAGGGAGCGCAGCCTGCTGTAATATATTTAAAAATGGCATCCACATGAAAGGCCACGCGAGGGATCCTTCAAAGTCACGGCAGCACAGGATATTCTCTCTACTTGCCCGGACTCATTTCCAAAGTAACCTCTGGAGCCGCTCCAGGAAAGCTTTTAAGTCGGTGGAAACTGCAGAGCTGGCACCCCCAAGTGGTTTCTCTGAGCCACTTCGTGTGCCCGGAGCTCTCCTCATCTCCCACCAACAGCTCGGACATCAGCTCTCGTCCTGCTGCGGATAGGCTGGGGCTGATTTGGACACAAACCTTTCAAAGCCGTCTCTTTCTGATTTCATTTTGCAACAGGGAGACTCCTCGGAGACCTTTCCCTTGCAGAGAAAAGCCAAGTGTTACAAAACCTTCCTGCTGTCAGCAGGATCTCTTACGTACCTAGAATTAACGCCGCAGGCCCACGAAGGCGAAGTAGAACTGCCAGAGGACTTTGGCACCGTCCTGCACCGTGCTCGCGGGCGGCCTGGAGGCTTTTTGTCTGGTAAGCTCGGTGCCCTTCACACCGAGTATCCTTCAGGATCGGCCGCCCCTCCTGCTTGTAAGTCTTGGAGAGGAAAACGTGAAAGGACAAACCTCTGCTAAGCTGCACACCTACTCGCAGCCGGAGTAAACCTCGCCACTCCCAGGCAGAGGACAGGCAGCTCCCACTGCTTACCCCAGCAAGGAGCAAACGTAGAAACGTAGGAAGGAGGCACTCGGACGCCAGCACGTTCTGCTGCTAGCCCCCAGGAGGATTTCTTTCCTCCTGCCACATGTCCGAGCCGTGCCACCCCTGGGTGTGCTGCACGAGGCACGGCAGACAAAAGGCTCATTCAGAGCTCCGGCGTGGCATCTGCTGCGGTGCTTGAAAGGAGGAGGAAGTGGGATTCGGAAGCATCAGAAATATGTAAACGGCGTGTAAGGGGAGTGGAGCCAGGAATGGCTCTCGCCCCGCTCCACATTTCCCCACTTTCGGGGGGAAAGGAAGGAGCGCGGGCACCCCGAGCAAGGGCCCCGGCAGCGGTTCCACAAGAGACAAAAAGCAGATGTTTCACAAAAGCTCACTTTCCAGGTTTATTAAGTAAAGTTAACTGAATCGTTTTCATTTTGTGGGGATTCCTTTCTGTCTAACCCGGGGGGTGGGGGGGTCAGCAGAGCTGCACAGAATCACGGTTGGACTGTGATAACCCAAATACAACTTTGGCTCATCTCACTGCTGACACGTATGGAATGACTTGGGGGTTATTACATGCTGTGTCTGCTTGAGGCAGGTACATGTACAGATCAGCACAAGTTGCAAATGATAGTTTACATCCTTTCAAAAACAGAGCAGGGCATTCAGCAAATGCACTGCCGTGAGAAGACATATGGAAAAGAAATTATACAGACTTGCAAATACATAAGAAGTTCAAGAGATGCAAGAAACCTCAAACACAAGAAATGTCAAGGGGCTGGGGGGGGAAAAATAAAACACTTAACTTCAGACACAATGTGTTCAAATTAAAACCCAGCTGTAATTTAAACTCCCGTCCAAATGGGAAACGTACAGCAACGCAATTTAAGAGGAAGCAGGTTTTGTCCTGGGGAAGAGATGTGTCCAAAAACACGGATGCACAAACAGGTTCAGAATTCTAAGCAAAATGTCCCTGGGCATTGGTGTACTTGACTCTTGGAGCCAGAGCAAAGCAATTCATTACACTTGCTGCACTGCTGGGCCTACTGCTGGGTCTCGGTGGTACCACAGCACGTGGGCTTCCAGGCGGCAGCGAGAAGGCAGCACGCAAACTGCTGGTTACAGAGAGAACTGCTGCAAGCCAGGTCTCCCAGGGATCGACTAGAGTTAAGGACACCTAATTCTGGTAGCCTGGCCTCCACTGCACACGGTAGTGTAATGTTCTGCAAGGGTCTTCGGTTCTTAGCTCACTCCTTTCTCAGCCTGAGTTGTTGCTGTCTTGTGCATGAGCACAACTGGCCGTGCAAAATTATCCAAAAAACAGAAGGGACAGGACCAAAGAAAACTGGCTGAACCTGGGGCTGGCTTTCAGCTCCTATTTCCAAATATCGGTTAAAGGTTGGAAATTTATCTACAAAAGAAATAATATAAATGAAATAAAAAATGGCACCGTCCACAAAATTAAAAAAAAAAAAAAAATCTTACAACACAGCCTCGTAAAAACGGCTTTGCAACGAGAGCTCAGTCACAAAATGAAGGGTTCTAGCTCTTCGTACATCGGAAGAGGAAACAAAGCTAAAAAGTACTAGTCCACATTCTCTTAATAAGTTAAACTTACTTTCCCTCCCCCTGTCTACAAAAGGGGTAGAAGCAAAGGGGAAAATAGGCTACCAAAAATAAAAATAAAAAGAAAGGAGAGAGAAGGAGAGAGCACGCGCGAGAGAGAGAGAGAGAAAGAGAAAAAGAGAGAGAGAGAGCGAGCAGTCTGTGGTCAGAGGCTCAGAGCAGGGCTGAGTTCCTTTTAAGGGTTTAAAAGATGCAAAACAGCTCCTCAGAAGTTCCCTCTCTTCAACAGTTAGTTCAATGCTGTAGCCATAGAAACTCAAGTATACATCGGAGGAGAGATTCTTTCGGGCAGATCCACCGGCGGCCAGCGAGCTGCTCAGCATGTGTTAATCCTCAATGATTATGGGTTCATCGTTCATGGGCTGGCGCAGCTGCACTGCCTGGATGGGCCGGAGGATAATGGGCTTGTAAGGGCGTCTGGCGGCTCGCTTGGCTTCGGAGGAGGAAAGCAGCTTGCGGATTTTCCTGCAGACAGAAGGGAAGAAAGGAGGCTGTTACAGAGACCCAAGGCTCAGGCATTGTGGGCTTCTCTGTTTCCCCGAGGGAAGCCAGGCCTGCACACGCAGGGGCCGGGCTGCTGCTGTTTGTTTTGGCAGCGTCTGCCCCAGGGAACTTTTGTTTCGCCCTGTGTAAACCGTGCCAATGAAGAGGCAACTGCTGTCGCTGGTCCAGAGCCCTCTCCCTGTCTCTGGAGAGGAGCAGAGGACGTCCTGCTGCAGTTTCACAGGACCGGGGGCTCCTGCTGTAAGCACAACACCCGAAATAGTTACAGCAGCCAGCTCCCACACCGCTGATTTCCTTTGGTGCATGCAAACACACCCGGCACAATGTGCTGCGGACAGCTTTGTGGGAATTTCCCAAGCCCGGTTACAACAAATCTCTTCTGGCAACCTCGGTTGCTTCCCTGCCTGCCCATCCATCTCCAGCAGAGCTCTCAGACATCTCCCGTTCCAAGCAGGTGCACGCAGCTGCCTCTTCAACAGGAGCCCGGCCCGGCAGCATCTCCTCTCCCATGAGCTGTGCCCTGAGGCTGAGACAGTCACTAACGAGGGAACCAGCCCTGGGGACTTGTCCTTCCCCAGCACCACTGACAGGGTGTCCCCCCTTCTTCTCTGCACCCTACGCATTACAAGGCTGGCAGTGAGTCTGGTCAGAGGCAGGAAGCAGATTTCCGTCAGGAGAGAAAGTAAAACACCGAGAGGGACACGCTGCAGGCTTGGAATTAGAAAAACAAGGTGGAAAGAAACAATGCAGAATGATTACTCGCTTCCTTCTGGCAACACCAGGCTTAGGGCTGGAGGAAGCGCCTTGAAAAACGGCAACACAGCAACAACAATAAAATGTACGATATAATTAAAATGAGAAAATCATTTCCAGAACACGTTCCAGTGGTCAGAGATTAGAAAGGAAGGTGCTAAATATTCACAGCAGCAGCCCACCAGGACCCGTTATACACACACAGCCTCCGTTCAGCTCAGGGCCCGGGATGATGAGGGGTGATGAGGAAGCCTGTCCTCACAGCCTCCTTCCTTCAAGGTTTAACCCAGCAGGAGAGGTCTGGCACCGCACTGGAGGAAGGGCAGCCACATATTTGTGATTACTCGGCATTGTTGGGGCCAAATTTCTCTTAAAAAGACACAGTCTCAGAAGAAGCTGGACAAAATACTCCCCCAACCCCCGATATACCCTTCGTGCCACCAGCATGGACAAACCAACACCTTCAGGTGATCATTTTCCATCGGCTGCAGTCCGATTTGGTTCTCTCCATGTGCTTTTTGCCCAACTGAACAGAACAAACCTTCTCCATATGTAAGAATAGATGGGTCTTCTGTTTTGCTCTGGGTCCCCGTTTCTCCAGCTTCTTCTAAAGCTGATAGGACACGGGGTGGGGAAAGGAGAGAGCCGGGTGGAAGCGTGTGGGAGCAGGGGGAACCTCGATGTGCTGATTTTTCAGACTCACTTGGCTGAAGCTGCCTTACTGTTACAGGCAGTGGAGCTTCTTGCCGTGTTTCTGTTAGACACCGCCACCAGAAATACGTCTCTCAGCAGTTCTAGATTCTGATCAGGTCACACTCTGCCTCCACTCGCATAAATTATAGGTGCCAAGCTCTGTACTGCGAGGCCTGCATTCAAAGACTTGTTCCTTTCAATCTACCAACTTTTCTAATTGCTCCCTCAAAGCTAGCCGGTTTTCTAGCACCGTTCTCAGCAGCACCACACAAAAGGGGACAGAGAGGGGGGTAACATTTCAGGAGAACCTCCTTTCTGTGACAGAAAACACAGCCTGACCCTCAGCTGGAGGATGATATGCAGATATTGCGGTTAGATTGATTGCTACGGAGCCAACACAAAGCTCAAATTGTTTCAGAGCTCACAAACAAGCCTTACATTCTTGATGCTGGAATGCAGCAGATGGTTCAGGGAAAAGTTCGAGGTGAAACGCCCAGCAGAAAACCCGTGCCGCTTACAAAGCTACATCGCTCAAGCTTCCCTGCTTTTCAGCAGGCTGCCAAACATCTCTTTTCAGCACTCTGATCAGTCAGCTAAGCAGCAAAGCTCTTGGACAAAGAAGCCTGTTCTTTTTCCCCCCCCCCTTATTTTTTTTCTTTTTAAATGGAAGAGATACCGTCTCACTGAGCTGATGTTTATCACCGTGCTACGATTTCTGTTTGAGATGCGTCGGTCACTGATCCTTCCTGCCACGCTCCGTGGTCCTGTACAAGCAGACAATTCTGTGCCCCCGCAGCAAGTAGCTCTCATGATGAATATTCTCTCTGTTCTGTACTGACCAGAGAGCAGGACCTTGTAGTAGTACTGAGACATTGCTACTGCAAATCTACAGCATTTCTTGTGGTTCAGACAATAAAGATGTCAAGAAGTGTTTTATAGACGTAGGATTATGAAATAAGCCTTGAGCATCCGAGGATTGAATCAGAGACTGAAAACCCTGCGTTTGCAACGGCATGTGAATTTGTCAGATCTGTAACAGGATCTCAGCACCCCTTCACCAGGGCAAGAGGATAACAGGAAAAAAGAAATGCCCTCAACATTTAATTATTTCTCTCCCTTTGCTTTTTCATTCATAT